AGTCCCCTTTTTAAACAGACGAATTGGCGACTTCCCGTGGCTCCAATCACCAGCCAAAAGGGCACCCGGACCAGTGTATTTTGTACGGAGAACCTCTGTACAAAGCAGCTGCGCAGGGTAAAGCAGCAATGCCGGCTGGCACAGCCACGCTGGCTGAAACAGCCACGCTGGTGACCTGTGGAGTTCCTCTGCCTGGGAATTTCCTAGTCTGTGGGCAATAAAAATGCGGTGTCCACTCACCCTCTGCACTTTCACTGGGAGCTGCAATCCTGAGCTGTTCCTAAACGGCCATCTTGGATCCTCCCACCGCCATTCTTTTATTATTATTTTTTAAATTCCACATCACTCCTTTATTGTACTGATCTGGAAAAAGGATTTATTACAATTATCCACAAATGAACACTGGGCCCATATAATAGGGCCAAGCAACTAGAATATGATTCAAAAATCAGGCGGAGAAAGACACACTTGACTATGATCAAGAGGCATCTTAATGCCACAAAACAATGTGGGGGAGGGCTTCTAAAACACACAGCAGGAGGCACTCTTATCCCTTAGAGGTCAAGGAGCTTATCTCATATTGGTGTGAGGAATGGCTTATTATCTGGTTTCTTTTATTCTTGACATGGAGTCTCACTATGTCACCCAAGCTGGAGTGCAGTGGTGCGATCTTGGCTCACTGCAACCTCCGCCTCCTGGGTTCAAGTAACTCTCCTGCCTCAGCCTCCCAAGTAGCTGGGACTACAGGTGCCCACCACCATGCCTGGCTAATTTTTGTATTTTTAGTAGAGACAGGGTTTTGCCAAGTTGGCCAGGCTAGTCACGAACTCCTGGCCCCAGATGGTCCGCCCACCTCGGCCTTCTAAAGTGCTGGGATTACAGGCATAAGCACCACACCTGGCCAGAATGGCTTATTTTCTGATGACTACATGTGGGACTATTTCAATCACCACAAGAAACCCCAGAAGGGTTTTGTTTTGTATATATTATTTATATATACTTTTTTTTGCAAAAGTAAATGTAACACATAAATTAAATTCAGGATTGATCTCAACCTTCTAGAGCCAGCTCCTCTGGGGTCAGGGAGGAAACAGTTGTTTTTCACATCACCATGCAGGTTACATTCATCTTCTATTGGAATGAGGAGAGCTCCCAGGCAGTGGCCTGACTACAGAAGAGCAGAGTACAGGACAGGATCTTGAGGGTCGATAGGCTGTCTTATTTCTCCTCACTGATCATGGCTTAGCATGGTTCCTTTCCAGAAGTCCATAGTGAACAAAGCACTGGCAAAAACCCAAGTCATTACCATTCAACTCTCTTGGACAAGGAGAGATTTTCCTCAGCTTAGACTGAGAACCCATGCACTAGGAGTGCTATTCTTACTAGATTGTGTGAAGGGAGTGGGTGCAGGAGACAAAATGGCTAAAATGAAAATGGGAGCCACTGGTACCCATCTGCAGCTACAACTTAAGATGACTACAGATGTGGTCAATGTGACATGTGCAGAGGAATGTGATGGGCAGGGAGGGTGCTCCTTGTGATAGTAATCTGCCCACTGGCCTTCACATCTTGGCCTCGCCCTGGGAAGCCACAGTTTCCATGATTTTATGCACAGTCTTTTCATCCCCGCAAGAACTGCATGGGCTTGATAAGTTTCAAGCTCTTGTCCCATTCATAAACAATGGGAATACCAGTTTGCACGTTCAGCTCCATGACAGCCTCTTCAGAGAGATCCTCCAGATGCTCAACAATGCCCCAAAGGCTGTTGCCATGGGCTGCAATCAGTACCCATTCCCTTCCTTGATCTGGGGAAATATTTCTTCATTCCAAAAGGGCAGATGGAGTAGCCATTCTTTATTCCTTTACTTTCCTAATAAACTTGCTTTCACTTTACCCTATGGATTCACCTCAAATTTTTTTCTTGTGGAAGATCCAAGAATCCTCTCTTGGGATCTGGATCAGGACCGCTTCCTGGTAACAAGCCTACTTAGCAAGTTCTCCAGGGAAGGAGAGTTCACAATGTTATATGCAAATTTTTGGTGCTGCGAAAGAAGTAGCACTCAAATATAAATTTCCTCAACAAGGCATTTACTTTCATAGAAGGGTGCATCTTACAGGTGGAGCAACGAAGAGTGCACAGCTAGACAAGGGAGGGGAAGGGGTTCTTATTCCTAATGCAGGTAGCCACTACTGCTATGTTGTTCCCCTATTGGCTAGAGTTGGACCGCACAGTCTTAACTAATTCCAATTGGCTATTTTAAAGACAGCAGGGGTACGAGCCAGAATGGCAGGGTGGGTAGTTTGGCAGGAAGGAACAGGTCAGAGCAGGTGACCAGGGGTGACTCAGATCAAAGCAGGTGAAGAGGGGAACAAATGTGAACTACTGATTAGAACTGGTGGGAAAGTTGTTTACCACAACTAGAGGCAAGGCAGCAAAGAGAACCAGGAAGTTAAACTTTACAATGGAGAATTAAAGAATAAGAGAGCTGAATGTACTGATACACTGATTCTTTAGAGAAACTTGGAGTTCACTATCTCTAACAACAATGCTTTTGGTGGTTTATAGAAGTGTATAGTGGTTTCTCCCAATCCTGATCTTCCACCCTTTACTCTCTGCAGTTTAAACCTATCACTGTTTATTTGCTTTTTTAGAAATGAAGAGAAACTGCAGCACACATTACCTAGGACAAATGTAAAAATGTCCCACAACTAAAAACAGAGTGTCATTAATGCAACTGAGACTCATAAGACATACTGGTGACAACGGGAAGAACTTCTTAAGTTGTCTTCTGAACAAAAAGAAGGAAGGTGACATAAGAAGGATGACCATACATAATTTATCAACCACAACAGGACACTTCCGATAGTGAAAGGGATGTCAGTTGGAAAAAATGATGAGACAAGTTGCAATCATTTTAGGAGATTTATTTCCCAAAGTTTCGGACACACCCCAGAGACAAGTCTATGCTTTTCTCTGAAGATGATTTTCAAGTCTCCAAATTTAAAGGGTAAAGGGTAGGATATTGAGAAGCACACCATTTTCACATGAACAAAAGGGGCAGAGGAAAAATGTAGGGAATCTGCATTTTACATAAGATAACACAGACAAAACGGGATGGGGAACAATCAGTTACACATTTTTGTCTGGCAGGATAGAGTGATTGCACCCATAAAGGTAAGATATCAATTTGCATTGCCCGTCGTGAAGTTTTAACAGCTCACCAGGAATTTCCTTGTGGGCAAAATATCAGGGAGGTGGGTAGCTATTCATCTTGTAGACACATTATTTAGGACCCAAAAGGTGGAGGCAGGTTTGCATGACCCATTTCCCAGCTTGACTTTTCTCTTTGGCTAAATGGGTTTGGAGTCCCAACATTTAATTTTCTTTCACAAGGGAAACCCAAAATAACAGATATCAATTGAACTGGTCACTCTGGATATAAGACTAAGAGATAACAAAGAGAAATCCAGCTGACTCAGTTATATTTTGTTTGAAGCTTCCAAATAGAAATACACAAAAACCAACATTTTCAAGTTGGAAAGGATACAACAAATATGGCAAAGAGGAAGCTAAATTCAAAGATAATTGAGGTATTGGTAAGAGAATAAATGTTTTAAATGATGTATTTATATGTTAATTCACTCCATACGCACTTGTTAAGTATCTACTTTGTTTCAGCCACTATGCTAGGTGATGCGCACATCAGCAAAGCATGTGAGGGATGGTCCATGCCCTGAGCAATACTTTTCAGAGAGATGGATTCACATACACGATAAAGTCATGTTACCTGGAAGTAAGCACTCTGATAAATAAATAAGCAAAATGTTATAGGAGTTGAAGTCTACAAGCCCGGATAAAAAAACAATTTAAGATATTAAAAAGACTTCTTGAAAAAAACTGCTGATAATCTTTGAGAAATTATAACAACTAAAGATTTTTGCTTAGTGAGCTAACCATGTCACAGAATTGCTCAAGCAGCTAATATAAACTTAGATTAAATTAGTCATATATTGTTCTCCTGGTCAGACCATACCTAGAATTTTTCTGTTCACCATGTTTCAAATTAAATAAGCTCATTCAAAAGCTTGCCAAAAGGAAATGGGTGTCTAAAGAAAGGTGACTACCATGAGGAGGGTGCTGTAAAGGAAGTCATATAGAGTAAGTGACCATTGTGCCCTGATTTATGCCAAATGCTCTGTCATTCCATCCTATTATTACCCTCTTTTCACTCTTTATTTATTTATTTATTTTTAGGAGTCTTGCTTTGGCTCCTAGGCTGGAGTGCAGTGGTGTGATCTGGGCTCACTGCAACCTTCGCCTCCCGGGTTCAAGTGATTCTCTTGCCTCAGCCTCCCAAGTAGCTGGGATTACAGGCACACACCACCACGCCCGGCTAATTTTTATATTTTTAATAGAGATGGGGTTTAGTAGGCTGGAGTCCAGTGACTCCATCATAGCTGACTGCAGCCTCAAACTTCTTGGGCTCAAGCAATCTTCCTGTCTCAGCCTCCTGAATAGCTAGGACTATTGGCCCACACAACTGGGCCCAGCTATTTTATTTAATTTAATTGTATTTATTTTTGAGATGGAGTTTTTCTCTTGATGCCCAGGATGGTACAATCCCATGATCTCAACTCACTGCAACCTCCACCTCCCGGATTCAATCGATTCTCCTGCCTCAGTCTCCCAAGCAGCTGAGATTATAGGCATCCACCACTATGCCTGGCTAATGTTTTGTATTTTTAGCAAAGACGGAGTTTCACCATTTTGGTCAGGCTGGTCTCAGATGATCCATCCGCCTCAGCCTCCCAAAGTGCTGGGATTATCGCCTGGCTTAATCATTTAATTTTTATTTTTGTAGAGATGCGGTCTCTCCATGTTGTCCAGGCTGGTCTCAAACTCCTAAATTCAAAATATCCTCCCACCTCGGCCTCCCAAAGTGCTGGAATTACAGGCATGAGTCACTGTGCATGGCCAGTTTGTTTTTGTTTTTGTTTTTAAAGAAGGAAGGGACTCACAAAGGTAAAAGTGCGTAGGGTCTACAAAAGTTATAACGCGGCCCTGGTAATGAGTGGCCGAACTGGGATCCAAATGCAGAGCCCATACTCTAAATCACTATATGAAAAGCAAACCAGCTAAGGGGACATGAGAAAGGCAGACCAGAGCCTCCTGTTGGTGGTCTTCAGCTAGCCAAAGGGCGGCCATAGAAAGAGAGTACCTCTGTGCTTATTTGATGTTTCATTTCTGCCTTTCTGCTTCAGCTGTGCTTATTGAAATCTTATCCAAGCTTCAAGATATAGCTATTACTGTCTTTAGGATACCTTACCTAAACCACCTTTGCTGGAATTAGTTTCACTTTCTTCTGTACTCCTGCAGCTCACCTTTGTACAGTCATGCACCGCGTAACACCATTCAGTCAACAACAGACCGCATATATTATGGTGGTCCCATAAGATAATAATGAAGCTGAAAAATTCCAGTCACCTAGTGATGTCATAGCTGTCATAACATCATAGCACAATGCGTTCTGACTCATGTGTTTGTGATGATGCTGAAGTAAACAAACCTAATGTGCTGCCAGTCATACAGCATATAATACTTGATAATGATAAACAACTATATTACTGGTTCATGTATTTACTGTACTGTACTTTCTGTCATTATTTTAAAGTGTACTCCTTCTACTTATATATATATATAAAAAATTAACTGTAAAACAGTCATAGTCAGGTACTCCAGCAGGTATTCCAGAAGAAGGCATTTTTATCATAGTAGGTGACAGGTCCATGCATGTTATTTGGCACCCAAAGATCTTCCAGTGGGACAAGATGTGAAGGTGGAAGACAGTGACATTGATGATCCTGACCCTGTGTAGACCAAGGCTAATGTGTATATTTGTGTCTTTGGTTTTTTGTTGTTGTTTGTTTTGAGACGGAGCCTTACTCTGTCATCCAGGCTGGAGTGCAGTGGCCTGATCTTGGCTCACTGCAACTTCTGCCTCCCGGGTTCAAGTGATTCTCCTGCCTCAGCTTACTGAGTAGCTGGGGTTACAGGTGCCCACCACCATGCCTGGCTAATTTTTGTATTTTTTTTTTTTTTTTTTTTTTTAGTACAGACAGGGTTTCACTATGTTGGCCAGGCTGGTCTCGAACTCCTGACCTCAAGTGATCCACCTGCCTCAGTCTTGTGTCTTTGGTTTTAACAAAGAAGTTTAAAAAGTAAATAAAATAAAATATTTTAAAATAGAAAAAAAATACTTATAGAATAAAAATATATAGAAAGAAAATATTGCTGGGTGCAGTGGCTCATGCCTATAATCCCAGCACTTTGGGAGGCTGAGGCAAGCAGATCACAAGGTCAGGAGTTCAAGAACAGCCTGGTCAACATAGTGAAACCCCATCTCTACTAAAAATATAAAAATTAGCTAGGTGTGGCGGCAGGCACCTACAGTCCCAGCTACTTGAGAGGATGAGGCAGGAGAATTGCTTGAAGCCAGGAGTCAGAGGTTGCGGTGAGCCAAAATTGCACCACTGCACTCCAGCCTGGGTGACACAGCGAGATTCTGTCTCAAAAAAAGAAAGAAAGAAAATATTAAATATTTTGTAGAGCTGTACAAGGTGTTTGTGTTTTAAGCTGTTACTACAAAAGAGTCAAAAGTGAAAAAAAAATAAAAGTTTATAAAGTAAACAATTTGTAATTATTATTATTTGAAAGAGATTTACTTTGTTGCCCAGGCTGGAGTGCAATGGCATGATTAGCTCACAGTAACCTCAAACTCCTGGGCTCAAACAATCCTCCCACTTCAGCCCCCAAGTGGCTGGGACTACAGGCACTCAGCTATTTAAAACATTTTTTTTTGTAGAGACAGGGTCTTGCTATGTGTCCAGGCTGATCTCGAACTCTTGACTTCTAGCGATCCTCACACTTTGGCCTCCCTAATTGCTGGAATTACAAGTGTGAGCCTGTGGCAGGCCAGGTCTCACTAACACAGGCCTCCTTAACAACTGTTTCAGCACTGACTGAGTGGTTAAGTTAAATGTTAAAAGCTGAAAGAGCCCGTGCCCTTATACAAAGGCTGGGATGTAAAGGAATTGGAAATGCAGTTAGCAGAAGAACAAAAATGCCTGATGGAAATGGCTGAAGAGGAATGACTGGAGTACTCGCGGAGGAAACAGGAAGCGGAAGAGAAGGCTCGGCTGGAGGCAGAGGAGAGGAGGCAAAAGGAAGAGGAAGCAGCAAGATTGGCTCTGGAAGAAGCCACAAAACAAGCCCAGGAACAGGCCAGATACTGGACACTTGGGCAACAGTTGCCATTGGGGGGTTGTTCAAGGGCTTCACTGTCCAGTGCTAATGCTAGCCTTGCACTGCCTTTGGACAAGAAAAGTACCCCCACCCCAAGCATGGTTTGAAAGACAGAAAGGCATAGAGGGATTCTTTTGCTGCAAATATCAAAGACTCCTCCATGGCTTAAAGAAGTTATACTGAAGCTACAAGGGAGTTTAGAGAGATCCACCTCAATCATCTAGTTTATAGATGAAAAAGGCATGTCCCAAAGAGGAAAAGATCTTGATCACAAACAGTGACTTAGGGACGATGCCAGGACCAGATCTAAGACCCCCTAATTCCATACCCATTGCCTTCCTTGGTATCTACTGAGTGCCTGTGATGTGCCAAACACTGTTACAGACACTAGGAATTCAGGAGTATGAAAGACAGAGAAGATGGCTCCTGCCATCACATTTACATTCTAGGGGCGGGGGTGGGGACAAACTCTAAACAAAGACTTTTTTTTTTTTTTTTAGACAGAGTCTCGCTCTGTAGCCCACACTGGAGTGCAATGGCACAATCTTGGCTCACTGCAATGTCCATCTCCCAGGTCCTGGTTCAAGCAATTCTCCTGCTTCAGCCTCCCAAGTGGCTGGGATTACAGGCATGTGCTGAGATGTCCAGCTAATTTTTGTATTTTTGGTAGAGACGAGGTTTCACCATGTTGGCCAGGCTGGTGTTGAACTCCCTACCTCGTGATCCACCCGCCTCGGCCTCCCTAAGTGTTGAGATTACAGGCGTGAGCCACCGCACCCGGCCAACAAAGACTTTTTAAAGCTAGCAATAAATGCCATGCAGGAAAAGTTTAAAAATATGATAGGATGCCGGGCACAGTGCCTCACCCATGTAACTCTAGCACTTTGGGAGACCAAGACGAGAATCACTTAAAATCCCTTGAGCTCAGGAGTTCAAGACCAGCCTAAGCAACAAAGTGAGACCCCCATTCCTACATAAATAAATAAATAAATACCCGGATATGGTGGTGAATACCTGTGGTCCCAGCTACACAGGAGGCATTTGCAAAATTTCTCACAGGGAGTCCCTCACAATCACAGATTTGAGAGTTGGATCAGAAAATTGTCTGGGAGGTCAAGGCTGCAGTGAGCCAAGTTCAAGTCACTGTACTCCATGAGCAAGATTCTTTAAAAAAAAAAAAAAAGAAATAAAACAAGGGGGGCAGGCACAGTGGCTCACATCTATGGTCCTAGCACGTTGGGAGACCGAGGCAGGTGGATCACCTGAGGTCCGGAGTTTGAGACCAGCCTGGTCAACATGGTCAAGCCCCGTCTCTGCTAAAAATATAAAAATTAGCTGGGTGAGGTGGTGGGCACCTCTCATCCCAGCTACTTGGGAGGCTGAGGCAAGAAAATCACTTGAACCTGGAGGATGCCGTGAGCCAAGATCAAGCCATTGCACTCCAGCCTGGGCGACAAGAGTGAGAAAAAAAAAAAGATGTGATAGAATTGCATGTGGTTTATTTTAGTTGGTTAACCAGGGCAAGACCTCTCAGAAGAGGTGTCATATATGGTGAAACCTGAATGACAAAGAGCCACATAAACATCTGGGAGAAAAATATCCCAGCAAGTAAACAGTAAGCATAAAGTTCTGAAGAAAGAAATGAGACTGGCATGTTGGAAGAATAAAAGACAGTATGGACGGAATGAAGGGGACAAAGGACAAAGGATACTTCCAGATGAAGTTAGGGACATAGGCCAAAAGCAGATCTAAAATGAGGGACTTGTTAGAAGAAAAAGCACAGAATCAAAGTCATCAGGAGCCTGGAGAATTTTCCCCCTTTAATCTCCTACAATACTGATTATCATTGCATCTTACTGCTAATAAAAACTGAGGTATGTAAAAACAACAAAGGCTGGGATGTAGCAAAAGCACCAAGAGTTCTGCCTAGGCCCTCCTGGGCCTTGAAGCATGACAAAATAATGAAGGAATTTTTCACAGAACCCACTTAGGATTAAACAAGTTTTTATTGGGGGGTCTGAAGAAACTCCCCAGAACTCCACAAACAAGTTTATTGGGGGTCTGAAGGAACTCCCCAAATCTCTGTGATTCAGCAGGAGACAAGATAAGGGTAATCACTCCAGCACCTGGACCCATTTAGATTAAATTTACTGAGGTTCCAAAGGAAGGTCTTCAGGACTCAGACCTTAGTTATATATTAAAAGAAGTTAATCACTTATGTCTTTAGATAAATGCACACTTACATGTAGACATACAGCTTAGAAGGTAAACTCTGGAAAACTTCATAATTTTGAGTTGGTCTGGCAATGTTTTCTGGGCCTTCTCCCTGTAACCAGTTACAGAAATAAAAACTCCCTCCTTTCCCAGTTCATCGGCATCTCGTTATTAGGCCATGAGAATAAGCCCAACCCTCAGTTTGGTCCGGGAACAAGCTACCACACCCAGCCTCATTTATTATTGAAGAAAGAAAATTTTAAAAATAAATTTAGCAAAGCCGAAATGTACAGTATGTATAAAGTCTACAGTAATGTACAGTAATGTCCCAGGCCTTCACATTCACTCACCACTCGCTGACTCAGCCAGATCAACTTCCAGTCCTGCAAGTTCCATTCATGGTAAGTGCCCTATACAGGTGTACCATTTTTTTATTTTCTATACTATATTTTTACTGTACATTTTCTATATTTAAGATATGTTTAGATACACAAATACTGATAATTGTGTTCCAATTGTCGACAGTATTCAGTACAGTAACATGCTGTAAAGGCTATGCTATATAGGCTAGGTGTGTGGCAGGCCATACCATCTAGGTTTGTATAAGTACACTTCATAATGTTCACACAAGGACAAAATCACATAATAATGCATTTTCATAATATATCCTCATTGTTAAGCAATGCATGACTGTATTCACATTATAGCATGTAGCACATTCTGCTATGTATAGTAGCCACTGTATGAATGTTTATTTCTCTTAAGAGTCTGTAAGGTACAGGGTATATCCTTTTCTTTGTCTATACCAAATAAAGTGGTTTGAACAAGTTTAGCAAATGGGAACTGAGAAGATTTTCTTCCCCAGCTTCCCCAGTTTATTGTTAAGATAAACTTAGCAATCAGACACAGTCCATATTGGAATGATCTACTTTTGAGATATCAACCAAGCTCCCGACACTGAAAATTTTCAGGCAAGGCAAGAAGGGCATAGAAAGGATTTCTCTATTGATTGCAATGTTGTACTAAAAGTCCATTAATTGCCTTTCCAACTCTGAGTCTATGGTTTTAGAATTCTGCTTGTAGCCTCAAGAAGCAGCACAGTATTATGACTGAAAGTATGGGGTCTGGAGCTAGACTGCCAAGATTTCACTCTGGGCTCTGCCACTTATTGACTTTGTAGCCACAGGTAAACATTTCACCTCTCAGAGCCTCAATATCTTCATCTGTAAAATGGGGATAATAATTGTACCCACTGCATAACAGTGTTATGAAGATTAAATGAGTTAATATAGGTAAAATATTTAGAACAGCACCTAGCACAAAGTAAGAACTATGTAAAAGCTTTTCAAATAAAGAAATATATTTATGATTGCTTCTTTTTTGCATTCTTAACTTTATTCACTTATATTTTGAAATCCAAAGCTGAACCTTTAAAAAACCTGGACCAAAGTATAGCCCAAAGGAAAGCTGAATTCTCAACTCCAATACCTATTGTCCCTGATAATGTGAACCCATATCATTCTTGCTATTTGAACAGCTTTGCAAGGAACTTCTTTTGCCTATCTGAAATGTCAGGACCCTATTTCAGAACCCAAGGAGAAGGGGAGACATGCTAAACTCTTTCTTGTTTTCTTGTCAGTGTCAGTGTTGCTGCAGCAAGAAGATACTCCCTTATCTTTTCAGCTAAGATGTACTTTGTGGTTTGGCAGATGGTCAAGAAAACTAGATTCCAGTCTTAGCTTCAGTGAGTCAACTGGAGCAAATCCTGGCTTTCATAATTGACAGCGTTAATGTAAGGGTCAGGGAAATGACAACAACTCTGGTGATTGTATAAGAAGAAAAGGGCTGGGCATGGTGGCTCACACCTGTAATCCCAGCACTTTGGGAGGCCGAGGTGGATGTATCATCTGAGGTTGGGAGCTCGAGACCAACCTGGCCAACATGGCGAAACTCCGTCTCCACTAAAAATGCAAAAATTAGCTGGGCGTAAGCCTGTGGCAGGAGAATTGAAGCCAGGAGGCAGAGGTTGCACATTGCACTTTAGCCTGGGTGACAGAGCGAGATTTAAAGAAGAAGAGGAGGAGGAGGAGGCCAGACATAGTGGCTCTTACCTATAATCCCAGCACTTTGGGAGGCCGAGGTGGGGAGATCACCTGAGGTGAGGAGTTCCAGACTACTCTGGCAAACATGATGAAACTCTGTCTCTACTATAAATACAAAAATCAGCTGGGTGTAGTGGCACATGCCTGTATTCCCAGCTACTTGGGAGTCCGAGGCAAGAGAATCACTTGAACATGGGAGGTGAAGGCTGCAGTGAGCCAAGATCACACTACTGTACTCCAGCCTGGGCAACAGAGTGAGACTATCTCAAAAAAAAAAAAAAAAAAAAAAAAAGAGAGAGAGAGAAAAGGAGAAGGAGAAGAAGAAGAGCAGCTCCCTCAAATCAGGCATATCCAGGTTTAAATCCTGGTTCTGCCTGACATGGTGTCTTCCTGGGGAAGTCAGATCACATAAAGCTCAGTCTTATCTGTAAAAGACAATAAGAATCTCACAAGATTTTTGTAAGGATTAAGTATGGTGAGATAAGTAATGTAAATGTCTACCACATAGTCCTGCAATTGATGTTACCACATTTACCTGTATTCAACATACTTTCTCCCAAATGTATATGAACATTACTCAGTGTCAATAGCATACTGTTATTATGACAGGAAGTCAAGAGAAGGAGATGTGAAATAACAGATTGGCTTAACTGAAAACAGAAATTTGTATTATCTCACTGCTGCTCCAGAATTCAATATTTAAATGAATGAACTAAATTTTGCCCCTGAAAAACACTTTTAAATCATTTTTAAAACAAGTATGATAAAGAGTTGAGACCCCCTTGCAACACACACACACACACACACACACACACACACACACACACACTCACTCACTGCGTAATGGAGACGGTTTTACTGTCTTGTGTATCTTAAACACTGACAAATGTGGGTAGTCTCTCTTTATTGATCCTTCCCTCATCCCTGCCTGTCCCCTTTTAACATTTTGAGTAATCACAGGCATTGGTCCTGCTTCTAAAATGCAGAAATGAAAGCAAAAGAAGTGCCTAGCCTAAAGTCATAGACCTCGTGCCTAATGGAGTTGGGCATAATTGGGATAAGATGAAACAACTAAAATAACTAGAGATGCCTGGTTTGAATCAGAGAAGGTTCAGGGGCTAATATAACTATATTTTGGCAACCATCATCCCCCATTCACTCCTTCTGCAGAAGCTCTTCTTCCACGCCTCTCTACAAGGAAGGCCAACTGCTTCTTCTAGATTTTTATTTATTTATTTATTTTTATTTTGAGATGGAGTCTCGCTTTGTTGCCCAGGCTGGAGTGCAGCAGTGTGATCTCAGCTCACTGCAACCTCCATCTCCCAGGTTCAAGCCATTCTCCTGCCTCAGCCTTCAGAGTAGCTGGGATGACAGATGTGCTCAACCACTACCGGTTAATTTTTGTAATTTTAGTAGAGAAAGGGTATCACCATGTTGACCAGGCTGATCTTGAACTCCTGACCACAAACGATCCACCCACCTGGGCCTCCCAAAGTGCTGGGATTACAGGCATGAGCCATGCTGCCCAGCCTTCTTCTAGATTTTAAGGGAGGAGAGAGATGGGGGACCAATAACCAGACAGACCCTAGCTTCTTTACCAAGAAGCACAGACATCACTCTCTAGCTAGGCCTTAATTCCATCAGAGACAGGCCCTGGACCAGGGAACTTCATATAATTCTAAAACTTCAACCTATTATTCCAATAAGGCAATGAAAGGCCCATGACAAAAACTCAGCATAATCCCAAGTAATTTGCCTCTAAGGATAGAATGTGTCTGTGGTTGTCAATCCTGCCTGAACATCAGAATTATCTGGGGATCCTGGGCCCCATCCCAGAAACTCTATTTTAAAACAAACAACCTGGGTAAGCAGCCAGAGTTAAAAACTAAAGCTCTTAACCCAGT